AAATCTTTAATTTTTTTTTTTTTTTTTTTTTTTTTTTTTTTTTTTTTTTTTTTTTTTTTTTTTTTTTTTTTACTTTAGCGAAAAAAAAACAAAAAACCGTCTTTTTTTCACCCTCGTTAGGTCGGGTGTGTGTGTATGTGCGTGGATGGGTAGCAACTATCGGAAAACAAAAAAAAACAAAAAAAAACATTATCGGAGCATCATAATAACCTATGTCGTCTCACGAATTCGCTAGTAAAAATAGCACCGCGATCCGAAACATCCCTTGATCATATGTTGTCATGGCATTTAGTGATATCGCACCATCGCTGATATCCAGTGCTGATGGAGGAGGAAGTGACAACGACGGCGGTGGTGACAGCACGAATGGCGTACTCTGATCGTACAAATGACCTGATATCGGTTGGGGTTTAAACGGCGAGGGTAGTGGTGTCTGTGGCGGGGGAACCTGAGAGAATCTCAACGCTCTCATTTGCGGGGGTGATGACAAAGGGGTTTGTGGGGGAGATGGCATCGTCTGTTTTAACTTGTAACCACCCACACCGGGTTCGTGTACCATAATCATCGGTTCATTGGTTGTCGCTTGTCTCTTGGGTTGGTAAACATACCCCGGATACATGTAATCGTGAACCTTTTTTGCGCATGTGGCTAGAAAACCATAAAGTTCCTTGACCTCCTGACTCTCATGTTTCCACTTCTTCGCGGCATGTTTTGAAACAAAGTCCAACCTCCCGGCAGCATTCGTTCCTTTATCCTTCGCTATTTCAGCCTGGACGTTTCTGCGGTAAATCACGAAGCTGTTCTGTGGTCTCGGATTCTTGACGGTCCTGACATTTACACTCGGTGTGATGAGTTCCGGCAAAGGAAGCGTCGTGTGCTTCTTTATCTTAATCTGTGTGGCTTCATCAATCGTCTCGGCGATAATTTGTGCGACAATTTCAGATCTTGAAGTTGGATAAGGTGGTTGACCGTACTGAGCGTAAGGACTTACGAGTCGCTGGTTTTTCGTGGTTTCAAAACAATAGTATGACATCTTGAACGTGCTCATATTAATAGTCGAAGAAGGGACTCTGCGTTTTTTTTTTTTTTTTTTCTGGAAAAAAAACAGGAAAATGAAAATCTCGGTGACACCTTTTCGTAGTTCTAGATTTGAAGTGAACAGCAGCAGCCCCACATTTTATAGATTTTTTTTCAGGTTTAGACAAATGAACAATGAAATAAATAAATAATATAGCAACATAATTATTGACGAATGAGATTTAAACACTCGAAATTGTTATTATTATTTATTGCAAGACACTCGGTATATCTATTTCACATATTTATTTACAATAATCCGACAGTATCTATTTCTGCATACAAATTAGGATAAAATGATTATCGTTCTTATTATACGCCAATTACCGACAGCTATATATATATATATATACAGTATATATAGTATATATGTATTATCATAAAGTGAATGATAGTATATAGATAGCTGATTGTTTATAGTTGATTACGAAATCGCTTAATATAAAATGCATGTGTGTGGTCACCAAAAAAAAAAAGAGAAAGAAAGAAAGAAAAAATGGGGACCCAATTTTTGAGGGACCGAATGAAACCTCTAATGGTACATTTTAGTGCATGTAGATGCAAAATGATATACCCATATTGATATAATAGTCGATATCAACATAGAAAGCAAAGGTATTCCTTTAATTGTGCGCGTACGTACGTACGTAAGCGATAAAAAGAGTAATACTATAATCCCAAGAAAGGAAACAAGAAGCTAACCATGTCGTTTTTTCATTTAGGCCCCGAATTTGTAGATGTGCGGCACGTAAAAACCTAAATTTAAAACATTGCGCAAAATGGATTTTAATTAGTAACCGGCATACATTGTTCGTTGTAAATTAACTTGTTTGTCACTTCGTTTGGAAAACCTTCCGAAGGCGCTAATTTATCATTAAGCTCAATTTGAAACGTCTGCATTATTTATTACATCATCCCATCATCATTATCATTATCATTGGACTGAGCAATGGAAGGTCGATGCACATGAAGGATCACCAATCCAGAAATGATTGAATGTATAAGCTACGTGAGACAAGTGGAAAACAGTCTGTCATGCGGGCTTTCCGCACGCTTCGCTCAGAGATTTCTTTGTCTGATGGGAGCCCTTATTCGGTTCGTTTCCCCTTTTTTATTCCAATCCTTCCTTTTAAATACTGGTTTCGCCAAACTGTGATCTTTTTTTGGAAAATAATGTGTCTCCGACAATGAATTAATAATGGTCAAGGCAAAATAACACTTTTTGATCTGGGGAGGGGCAAACATCGAAAAAAAAAAAGGTGGCACGGGTGCGTCGTGGATCCCAAGGGCGCCGCAGTATGTGGTTGGACGGTCATACAGTGAATGAAGTGGTCAAATTTGGAATTTCCACCTACCATCATTGTACACACACAAAGCATCATGTCATCATGACTCTTGATACCAAAAGGTGTCTCAAGTGTCAAAATGAATTACTTTCTTGTAACAATTGACTTCCTTATTGGTACAATTGCAACCATCAGATTTCTTGTAAAAAAGAGCTCTTGGCATTCAAATATGGCATGGTACAATGAGCCAAATTTAACAATTTGATAATTGTGAGGCTATGACACTATGAGAATATAAATAGAAACACTTTGTGGAAACCAAATGAACCACCTTTTGTTTATCTACAATGTGTTATTATGGTGTTCCTGATTTATTTATGAATGTTTATGTAAGATATCACAATAGTATTGTTATTGTGCAAAATAAATAAATACATTTCCATAAGCGGTAATTGGATAGCACTTATATGTCATATCGGAGCATGAATAAGACATTTCGCCCGTGTCATTGAGGGACCATAAATGTTGATATGAATGGAAAGTTTCTGATTGTGACAATGTAATAATGTTGAACTCAAAAAAGGTGAACAAATTAGAGGGTGCACGTCACCGGGTCCACCCGTGTCCCATAAGGTGATTAACCCACAAGTATGGAATTGTATGGTATACGGGAAATGGCCGCTATTTGCCGCAGTGCATCTCATGTTGTTCACCCGTTCAATCCTTTCTCTTGGTACATTGATGGTGGTGCCGAGAGATGCGCAAGGGTCTTGGTGCCGAGTGATGTATGAGATTCCGATTGCGGGCAGAAAAAAAAAAAAATTGAACGGTAGAGAGGAAAAAAGAAAGAGAAGAAAGGGAAAGTCGCCCCAACACATCATGTTTGATGTTTTGCTAATCGCATGGCATCATTGTATGCATCAATATTCAATGTCTCTTTTTTTCTTTATTTCTCTTTGTATCCATCTGATCACCAAATTATTTGGAAAGATTAAAATGGCCAAATGATTTTTTATTATTTATTTATTATTATTATTATTATTATTATTATTATTAATTATTATTATTATTATTATTATTATTATATTATACTATTATTACTATTATTACCATCATCATCATCATTATTATTATTGTTATTATTGTTATTATTGTTATTTTGGGGAAAGTAATAAGATTTCGTAAAGTAGCGGTCCATCCACAATTGCCTTTCAAATCCACGCACAGTTTATTGTTGTGACGATTGTTCCATACATTGAAACAGGGAGTGCGTGTATACTTATTTTAATTAACGTTGGTCACTGGACTTGCATTATAAAGATCTAAAAAAGTAACACTGGACTGTTCACTCGATGACTTGAGGAACTTAAAAAGAGAGTGAGAAAACCGAGAGAGAAGAAAATTTGTTTAAATCTTTTTTCACAAAAGAGTTTGGAGCGGATCTCACCGAATATCTTTGGAAAATTCGAAATCCGAAAACAAAAACTGGTCGTAGCCAAAATAACCACCACAATAATAATAATAAATTTTAATTGTGTCACATCGAATTCATTCATTTTTTCATTTGTCATTGATTCACGACTTTTTCGGATGTTTATTTCTCTTACATCATACAGTATAAACAATCAAACTTGGTACCTGCTGATCCCAGATACCTGTTCTTAGCATCACGTCATTAGTAGCTTCATCATGTGATGTGGAATTTTTTTTTTTTTTGGTTTTGGCGTATCGGAGTGAACCTGAAATCTGGTCCCTTACGTCAGCGGCACATATCATCGTTTCTTCGGAGATCTGACATCTCTTTTTGTACTGAATGATTACTACTGTTGACCAATATTTCAAATTATGCAGATAATGGAAACTCATGAAAGGAACCTTTTATAGAAAAGAACATTCCAATTGACCAACCGGTCATAGAATTTCCGAAAATCTTGCGTATCTCAGATAAACATATCAATTCATTTTTCTGAGCTGACTTCACAATGGCTTGTAATGGAGAATTGAAAAAATGCATCGTGTGTATTCCCTCGATTACATTTGACCCATCTTTTTTCTTTTCTTTCCTTTTTTTTTTTTTTCGGGTAAGCACGCAATTGCGTAATTATTCACTTTGTGACCAGTGTGTAACGTCAAGGGTAAAACGTGATTCTACCGCTAAAGTACACGGTCCAACCATCAACCATTGTGATTATGCTGAACAATATGTTAGGTAACAAATAGCGTGCATGTCGTGATGTTACACCGACTATTTGGTGGTGATTTTTTTTTTTTTTTTTTTTTTTTTTTAACAATCGAATTTATTGTTTTGTTCGTAATAGGAAAAAAAGAAAAAGAAGAGGAAACTGTGTTTCTCTCAATAATCAAATACAAAGGGAAATGCTCAATGAAGAAATATTAATATGTAATTCATACTGAGAATGAACAAAATCGTTGTGTCATGGTTTACCTCTGACACTGAGAGGATCTTTCCTTTGTGAAATTCCAAAAATTCACGGTGATTCTCATTTAGTCGTTTGGGACTTCCCATATACCGTTGGTCTCGATCTATTAATGCGTATGAATATGATACACAGAATGTGCGCAAGGAGAAGGAAAATTAATTGATAATTGCATCAATGACGGATAAATAAAATTTTCGATACGGTCCTCTCACTCACTCACTCTATTATGGAAGAGTGATGACAATTCACGATGGACGCATCCAGATTGCTTGAAATTCTTTCGGACGATTTTGCTAAAGGTCGAGAACATAGGAACATGCAAAAGTATACGAAAAATGCAACCATTACTTACTACAGTATTTCAATCATTTTTGTGATTTTCGTGAAATCCTGAAACGCAGCATGCATGCTCACCAAAATAGTAGTCGATGTACGACATAGAATGATAATTGAACTTGCATGTGATTCTTATCACATTTTACTCTGTCTCGGTCATTCAACTTTTGTTATCGGGAATCTCGGAAACTCAGTAATCCTTTCTCTCCTACACAAACAAATAATATTTTCCAATTTAGGCTGTCGACCTATTATTCTCCTTTTGGAAATCGACCACATACCAATTAATTTATCTTTTCGGGAATCGTTGCGTAATTGGAAATATGATGCCGTGTCGGGCTTTCCAAAACGATTCCTACTGACATTACATCTTTAACATTTATGTTTCACTAGCGATGTCTTCTTTTAGAACTTATTTCCCCGGTGGCCGATGAGTTGTCAATCACCTAGACGCAAGGATGATCTCACATATGCGTCACGTACCAAATTTGTAGATGCGGTGAGCGCTCACCATGTGCGTTGTCAGCTTTCTCGGGCGCAATTTTTTTATTATTCCTTGTTCTAGTACGCACAGCCACAATAGGATGGGTCATAGTAAATGTCATCTTTGGGAGATTCATTGGTAGAAAGAAAGAATTCTCGATGCACTTAATCAATTAGAAAAAAACCTTATTCCACGATCCATGAAACCGTCGATGATTCTCGAAATTGAATGAATGATTTTTTTTTTATTATGATGAATAGTATAAATTAAAGAATTCCAAAATAAGATCATTGCGTTACATAGACTGAAACCAATCAAATATGTGATAACGATGACTTTATTTACCACTTCACTGTATCAGCAGCAGTATCATAGTATCATGAGCAATAAGATTGTTGCCTCATGAGAATTACAACCTATACTCATTCATGTCAGCAAAAGCTCCACCGGTTTCGCTCGATCAAACAACTGGCGACACTAACGGAGAGGAGGACAAGCGTGTGAAAGTTCAAGACAATCTCAAATACCAAAAAACCGACAACTGGCAAGCTAACGATGATGTCCAAATTGAGAACGTGGATTTCATACCACTCGTAAATGAGGTTGTATCAAAAGGAATACCTTCTCAGGGTAAGTGAATAGGTTTACTTCGTTACGTCATAGCACATTTCAACGGATTGTCGATCTTCTTTTTCTAAAAAAAAAAAAAAACTATTCGTCAAACCAAGTAACTGCGGATAGATCATTTCTATCAGATGACAGTGATCTTTGGACTAAATTTACATCAACGAGTGTGTTGTATATCATCCATGACAAATTGAAGTGCAAACATCCGAACAATTTCTCCTTTATCCAAGACCTCGGGACTCTAAAATTTAAATGTCTTCTAACGTTTGGTGATCGTGTGTGGGCATCATCGTTGCATTCGAGTAAAAGGAAGGCGAAGCACGAGACCTCTCTTGTGGCCGTTCGCGATCTTGCGGCTGCATATCCCGACGTATTGGATGATGTACGAAATTGGTTTGAGCAGGAGTTCGGGTCTTGCGCCAGCAAGGTTAAAGAAGGTATCCCCTCGAACCTGCAATCTGAAGAGACACCGTTAAGCTTAATCGATGATAAATCATCATCACCGTCTACGCATCTCTCTCCCCAAATTTCTCTTCGACCGGTCGATGAGCCAAATGATCCTCCAGAAGCAAGCGTGTCAAACGACATGTTAATTCCTGAACTCGACCCCATGCAAGCTCATGATATCCCCTCACTTTCTCCATATACTTTGCGAGATCGAACCCGTTTTCATCCATATGTCGATGCCAGTCCTTCCGCACTAAATGTTTTGAAGAAGGCCACAACTTTGTTATATGAATGGTGCTCCAAAAGACACATTCACGCACCAGAATATCTATGTAAAATTGAATTGGGCGGAGGCTTCTCTTTCGAGCTTCGGATCTCGGGTCATGTATTCTCCGGACCGGTACGCAGGAACAAGAAGGAAGCAAAGAACGCAGTCAGCACGGCAGCTCTTAATCACTTCAAAACAAAATGTAGTATGCTACATAATCGATCGTCATGATAATTATGATGATTGCAATGGTGCTTGCTTAGGTCAATGAACCACGATTCTCGAAAATCATACAGGAATGTCGATCGATTACGACAATCACTCATTCATCATCATCTTTGCTTGAATTGAATAATTTGTATTTGGGAGACAAAAAAGTGACATCTTCGAAACGCGAGATTTTTGTATTATTTATTAGAATCTATGTTTAAGAGCGAAATGATAGGAAAGACCTCTGCACACTTTAGAGTTGTCCGTTATTGCATTAGAACAGGGAATTTTTGTTCCTTTCTTAACTGTGTCTATGCGATACACTTTGTTTTTTGGTCTGAACAACTGATGAACTAAAAATGAGTAGGCCGATCTATTGTAATAAATCAGATGGAGCTATGTAGAAAGAGTCACTCCCTAGTCTAATTAAGCACCTAAATCGTTCCCAAGTTGGATAAATGGGTTGTGTGGACGCCACCTTCTGATTAGAGTTCTTTCTACTTTACGGCGATTGTTACATTACCTTTATTAGTGTTGGTGCGCGTGATTTTCTTTTTCCCAAGGTACTACAAAAACAGACGGCAAGGGTACGAGTTTGGAAGACCCGCTTCAGAAGACTCGAGAAATAATAGTCATACATATTATTGGCATGTGTGTGCTTCCGACGAATCAGAAAATTGGGCCTAGACCATGAACACCGACGTAATTGTTGTGTAAACACGGCGGAAGCTCAAACGTGTGTAAATCCGATTTGCAAGTTACGCGGTTTCCCTTCCATTCATTCATATTCATTCATTCATTACTTCTATCAAATTTATGAAATTTCTTATTCCGTAACGAAAAGACCTTGTCTCTATGGCGTACATCTGTTTTTTAAATTTTTCATTCCATACTTTTTGACACGCTTATAATGTGTAACTCCCGAACGTGATAAACAAGGAGTTTTCTTCATTTTTTCCTCTACTCCTATAATTAGAATATGGAGGCTGAGAATGTTATAATGAGAACATGAATACGGATGAACGTATTTCCAAGACAACGTTTGACATTCATGAATTCCTTCATAGATATTACTGATAAGTAAGTTGAAAAGGATTTCGGCTAAAAGAAATGCGACAGATAAGATTATAAATAGAAAACATCATAATCCGTGTAATACTCATTTGAAACATAATAAAGATCAATGCTAAATACGAAATATGAATCTCATTTTTCTAATAATGAATGAACTTTCGTCCCCAAAAGTGATGGCGGTTTTTTTCTTAAACAAAAAAATTTGGCCCTGATGTAATTGTATATTAAAAATTGTATATTAAAATAAAAAACAGGATGTAACCCTTTTTAGAACTTTCTTTTTTCGAAAAAAGATTCATTTACACGCACAGTGTCCCGTTTCCAAGTGCTTAACCTAATTTATATAAATTAAATATTGGAAACTCTCACTTTTTAAAGACGTGTCTCAGTTCTTTAAATCCGTATCGCTTTATATATATTACTGCACCATACGTATGCCGCATATATGATAAATTTTATATAAGGCAGTAACAAATTTTTCTATGAAAAAAATCTTATTTGATCTAACCTGTACTATTTGGTACATATCCAATCGCCAAAACAAATTATCCAATTCATTTCAAAGCAAGGTAGTCAATTCATTTCAAAGCAAGGTAGTCGGGAAAGAACAATTTGATTTTCGATTTTGTTTGTTTAATTATTTTCATTTTTTTTACCCACCGTCGAGGTACCATTTCTCATTACCTGCAGTTGATAATTCATTTAATTTCCATCAAACAAATGCTTAATTAAAAATGTTTAAGGATATTTTTTGAAAAGTAACTCTTAAAATCTTACTCTTGATCTTCTTTTTGAAATCATTGTTTCAATTAATTAAAAATATTGATAAACCTCTCTTCTTTAATCGTTTTTGAAGATAAAAAAAAGGGTCCTTTTTTTGTTTTTTGATGTTATTGACGTGCTTTTTTAAAATAAAAATAAAAGAAATATATAAATGCATAATATCAAAATACTAATAAATAACTTTATATATTTAATCCATAATCCTGTATCCTATAATTTTTAATACGTATAAATTGCTAAATTTGATTTTTCTTTGTTTTTTTATTACAATAGATCTTTGTTTGATTTCAATATTTGATTATAATAGATCTTTGTTTGATCTCAATATTTGATTAAAATATAATTTATTATATAAATAACACTTTAAACTTGACTTAACTCAACTTGTTAAAAGCTTTAAATTAATTATATTAATTATATTAACAAATCAAATATATTACTAAATTAAGTAAAATTAATAAATATATCAATAACTTAAATATATAAATAAATTAATTATATTAACAAATCTATTATATAAATCTATTAATATTAATAAGTTAATCATATTAATTTTAATTATATTAATTATTTAATTAAAATATTTATTGGTTTAATTCAAACCATTCTTCTAATTTTTATAATTATTGTTTTATTATTAATAAAAATAATTTATTGTTTCTAATAAGCTTCTTATTTTTAAATTTAAATTTAATAAAAATTTTATTATATAATAAAAAAAAATTTTTTTTGTAGATAAATATCATTTCTTTATTTGATTTGTATATGTCAAGGTATATATCATAAAAAAAACAATATTTATTATATATAAGTACAATGAGTTAAATGCTAGTTTGCCTATAGTAATTATTTGAAAAAAAAATTTAAAATAATATATCTTGTCAGATAATACCAAGCAGCTATAAATATCTACTCAATATTAAAAAAAAAGATATCAGATAATAGTGATATTAATTTTTAACTATATTTGGAATAATTATATTTACATTGAATAAACATGTTAGTAATTATATTAGGTAGATCAATTATAATTTCTTCAGGAGAAATAATAGTTGATTGGGTTTCAATTTAAGAGTTATAATTGTTAAATGGTTTAAAAAAATAAAATGGTATGGAAAATTTATTAAAGTCCTATTTAATTTTGATAGATAATAATATATTGACTATAGAGCAGTATAATTTTCAAATAAGATTATATAACTGAATTATAGCTTCACTAGCTGTTTAAATTCAATTGGAAAAATTTGATATAGAAAAGATTTTATCTATAAAGCTATAAGATAGTTCAACTACTTGCCATATATGTAAAGTTGATATTTGATTGCTGTTTAAATGGAGAATTTGATTGATATTTTTAATTATTTAATTAACTTCAATAGAGGCCTTAGGACATTTGAAAATATGATGAATATTCTCAATACAAAATTTGTATATTGAGTACCAAACATCTGGATATTGATCAGGATATAACTGGTAAAGAGTTTTACAAGTGGATAGAATACCTAAGAGTAGTTTGATTTTGAATGCAATTATATTGCTATAACTGTTATTATATATTTTTTTGATATCCTTATTGGATTTAATGATAACTTTTAGGCTATGTGGGGTATGCTTACATTCAAAAGTTTAAGTGATAGAGAAACTTTCACAAATCATATAGTCCCTAGTAATACTAAAGATTTTTTTGCATCACTTAACACTATTGCTGAAGCATGTATTGTTGATTAATAAGTTTTCTGAAAAGTGTGGTAAAGAATTGTTCTATTGAAAAGATCTGATTGACAATAATTTGGATTTAGGTTTGATATATATTATATATATTAATTTTTGTTATATTTAAAGAATTATTCTTTGGATTAGTATTGAAAAGTTGATCTTCACCATTCTTCTAGAGTATTCAGAAACTGATTGAAGAATTTTTTTGTTACTTTTGATTTTAATAATGTTGCAATACTAGTTCTACTGAACAATGTCAAATATTACAAGTAAAATGTTATCTGGTAATAAGCAAAGATTGAAGAGTTTAATTTTGATATCATTTATAATTAGATTATTTTTGTAAAGCTGTATATAAGTATGCTACTATAAGTTAAGTTCCTGCGAAAAAGTTTGAAAAAAGTGAGTAGTGGGATGTTGACTTCTTGTAGGATAAGTTTATTGTTCTGTAGTGAAATATAGATTTCATCTGTTATACTAAATAGACAATATTTTTGATTACTGAATAAATTAGTTTGAACCTATAATGTTGAGGCTACTGTACTTGTGAACTTTAACCAATAGAATCCTTGAGAAGGCAAACTAGCTGAACAGCCTAAGTATTTAATCAAGGTGTTAAAATTTATTGTAAAATATTTCCCCTTGAGTAGTGTATTTTCTTATATTGCTCAATATCTTTTGTGAGTTTTGACTATTATGTTGATATTATGAATAAACCAAAATATTAATTTGATATTTGGTATTGGACTGTGAGATCCTTTTAGATTTCTAGTATTTGTAAATGTTTTGAACCAATTAGGCTCTGGGCCAGAATAAATTATGCTTGTATAAATAGTAAGTTATGGCCATATAAGTTTGGTAAAGCTTTAAATTTTTAGTAGTTGATTGATGAATTTTATGTTAAGCTAAAGTTGGAGAGTGGAGAACAAGAGTCCAATCAAGTTTTTGGTATTGTTGAGATGGAATAGACATTCTGCAAGACAGATTTAAATTTTAAAATCTTTGGTTGATTTTGTTATGTAAAGAATTCAACTGTCTTGATTAAACTTCTTTGAATTGTAAATAAAACAAAATCAAATTGTTTCTTTTGTTTGGATGAAGTGAATTTCTTGTAGTATATATTTTCTAATAGCAGAAATAGAAAGTTTAGAAATTAGGTTGCCTATTAGTATGATCTTTTGTCTTTCTTCTAATACAGCCAGATTAAGGTTGCCATGGCTTGTCAAGATTGTGTTGAAACACTTGGAAGAGATTCTGTATACTTATTTAATTAGTTTGTTGATTTTTGTCTATAGAAGTTTAAGAGTTGACTTATTGAGAAAAGAAGAGAGTATGAAGTATTTGAATTTTCTTATAACAACCCAATTATTGATTTGTTGCTTTTCCACTTGTGTTTGAAAAGTTCTTCAATGACTTGTAATGCTGTTTAGATAAATGCTTTTCTATTAGATTTGTATAGGTTTCTTGATAAGATTCGGGTTTCAAGATATTTGATATTTTCATATGGTTTAAAAATTTGAATCTAATGGTTATCAAATCTAATAGAATCTGAAGAGCTGTGTTTGACTTTGATATTGTTGATAATCTTGATTTTATCTTTGTTGCATATGATACTGTTTATTGTGAAAAATTAATTGGCTATTGTGAGAAACTTTTCTAGCTTCTGTCTAAAGTCTGCTATAGAAGTAAGGTCATTTATATATGCTAGAGTATTGGGAGTACAGTAACTTTGGACTGGACAGTGTTAAGATAGGTTGGTAACTAGTGGGTTATAAAAATAATCCATGTGATTAGAAACAGTGTTTTATCTTATTTTACTTCATTATTGATGATGAATGAATTGGTTGGACCAAATAATAAATTAATAGATACCTCTCTATTGATTAAAATATTAATGAGAAGACTGATGACTTGACTTGAACAGTTGATTCTTTTTAGGAATAAAGACTGAGTCAAATGCTTTGGTTATATTAAGAGATGCAAACTAAAACTCTTTGTTATTGATATTTGCAGTCTAAAGAGCTGAATTAATGATTGCTAGTGATTCCATAATACTTTGTCCAGAAAGGCTGACATAATTGAATTCTGATAGGATATTATTTTCTTTAAGGATTTTGGTTA